CGCTTCAAATCCGTAAACATGTCTACTCTAAATCCACTCGCACCACCCTTCACCCCCAGATCACATCCTTCATCCTTCTCAGTGCTCTCACTTAACTGCCGCTCCATAGTAAATAAGTTAGCTGAGCTTAGTCAAGTCTGTGAGCAGTATTCTCCAGACATAATCTGCCTATGTGAAACGTGGCTGACACCTGCCATAGACGTCTCAATTCCAGGCTACACGTCATACCGCCTGGACCGCCCACCCACGACCAGCTCTGATAACCTGCCAGCAAGAGGCTATGGCGGTGTTGCTACTCTTGTAGCTGACAGATCGTTCATGTCCATCAAGCGCCGCTTCGACCTTGAGCGCTGTGGACTGGAGGCGGTTTGGCTCGAATTGCGGCCAGTGATCCTTCCCTCACTCCCCCTCATCATCTGCTCTGTTTACAGACCCCCTGGAGACAGCATCTCCCAAGTCCAGGCATTTAGTGACCTCCTAGAGGACTGTCTGTCCACTATTAGCCTTCCCAATTCGGCGATTGTACTTGCAGGAGACTTGAATGCTCGCCACTCTGACTGGTCTCCTAGTGACACCACGAATCGTGCTGGAAGGGAGTTCCGTAACCTCTTCTCTTGTTTTGGCCTTGAGCAAATGGTGACATTCCCCACACACTTTACCCCCCACGGCTCAACATCGTGTATTGACGTTGTACTCACGGATCATCCTCACCTACTACTCTCTGTTACATCTGTTGCTCCTCTTGGTGCATCTGACCACGCACAGATCCTCAGTCATTTCCTACTGCCTACTGATGCTGTTTACCGTGAGGAACCTGCTGCAAGCGGACATCCCGCTGCTGCACCCCAACGCCACTTCAGCAATGTTCCTGCAAAGCCGGAATATGACTTTAAATCCGTGCCATCTTCCGTCTGGGATAGTGTGAATGCAGAGCTCTCTGATATTGACTGGAGCTGGCACCTGCGTGCCAGCAACGTCGATGATGCGCTTTCACACTTTTCTTCCATTCTCAACAGTGCCCTTGAGAAGCACCTCTGGCCATTCGGAAAGCAGCCGTATTCTCACCGCTGCCCATGGCCCAGTCAGCCACCCTGGGTTGATGCCCATCTCCGCACAGCAATCAAGTGGAAATATGATCTCTATAGCATTTTCAGGAAGTACCCAACACAACAAAACAAACAAGCATACCAACAGCAGCGAAATATAGTGAAAACCCTGACGCGGACAAAGTACAGAGCTTATATCCGCTCAATGAAAACTACTTTGCAGGGTAGACACCGTCCATCGCTTCACCAGTTTGTGAGACAAGCAAGAATTCGAAACGTATCACGGGAAATTCCGTCACTCACAACAGGGACTCAGCAGGCGGCTGACCCTTTGGCCAAAGCTACGGCATTAAACGCCCAGTTTGCCTCTGTGACTCGGCCAGATGACCCGTTGCTCTCTATTCCCCCTATTCTCACCCCCTCGGAGCCCTTAGCTTGTTTCACGTCCGTCATCACCACAACTGCCACTGTCCGGCGTCATCTGAAGAAGCTTCCGACGTGCAAGGCGTCTGGTCCTGACGGCATCCCCAACCGGGTCCTCAAGGCCCTGGCACCATCCATAGCATTCCCTTTGTGCCATATTTTCAACATGTCATTTACCACGGGCATATTCCCTTCCGCATGGAAAACAGCGAAAGTCATACCTGTATTCAAGAAAGGTTCCCGCCACGAACCTACAAACTACCGCCCTATCTCTCTTCTTCCCTGCGTGTCCAAAGTATGTGAACGCATCTTTTATGACCACTTATACAGACATGTTTCGCCGTTTCTGAGTCCCGCACAATCTGGGTTTCGTAAAGGCGACTCCACCTCTCTTCAACTGACCCGCATCGTGCAGCAGGTGTGCCAGCATAGGGATAACAGAGCGCTTGCTGGCATTTGCTTCTTTGACTTGGCCAAGGCTTTTGATACCGTCTGGCATCGAGGACTTTTGGCAAAGCTCGAGCATGCATTCAGGGTACGCAAACAGCCACTCTCCTGGCTGAAATCTTATCTCTCTGGGCGTTATCAGTACGTAACTGTGCTTGGCACATCCTCGGCTGCAGAGCCAGTATTGTCGGGCGTTCCTCAAGGATCAATTCTTGGTCCCCTACTATTTATAATTTACGTAAACGACTTACCTGCAGTCTTCCCTGGAACGTCTCTGTTTGCTGACGACACGACCCTTCTCACCTCATCAGCTTCCCTCACTGGCCTGAAAAACAACTTGCGTGCTGGCATTCAGGAAGTTCTTTCCTGGATGTCGTCCTGGAGGTTGTCCCCAAATCTATCAAAAACAAAGATCATGCTCTTCCCGCCCCAGCCGGAGTTCACAACCCTCATCCATGCCAACTTTCCAAATCCAATTGACATAGTGTCTTCTCACAAACACCTTGGCATTGTGATTGACTCTGCACTCTCTTGGGTACCTCACATCGAATATATCTGTAAAAAATCAAGTAAATCCTTAGGAATTCTCTCCCCCCACTGCTCCTACCTCCCACTTTCTTGCAAGCTTCTTTTTTATTTCGCCTACCTTCGCCCAATATTTCATTATGCAGATACGTCTTGGGTTGGGTTATCCTCTTCCGCTGCTGCAAAGCTTGAAATACATCACAAGAAAATCCTTAAAATTCTCCTCCGTCAACCCCGCATGCTCTCATCATCCGCCCTTTATAAAATCGCTCACACAACCCCGCTATCACATGGACGCAGTGCACACCTGGCTTCTCTTGTCCATTCTATTAAGCTTGAGTTGTGCCCACCTCATCTCATGTGTTTTAATTGGTTCTCTTCTCTAAGAACTAGAAACTCACTCTTACTCCCTAAGTGTAACTCATCCACTCTTTTGCGCTCCCCTCTCTTTATTGCTTATTCTGTTTGGCTCACTCTACCCAGAGAAGTTAAGGACCTGACCTCACTCCGCCTGTTTAAGATCCGTGCCGCCCCTTATTTACTACGACATGCATAGCTCATTATCCACATGTCCTTTGCGTCTCTGTGTTTTTCACTGTTTTTATTTGACATTATCTTTCTTTACGGAGTTGTTGTTGCTGTTCGTTTTGCTACTCTTTCTTTTTCCCTCCCCTTCTTTCTATTTATCGCCGTGGTTGGCAATCACCCACTCTCGTAATATTGGCCGGTGTTTCCGCCGAGTCTTGAGATGTTGCAATAAATAATAATAATAATATGTCTCAAAGCTCAATAAGAATGCGTTTGTTACCATGGCACTCGCATAGCCGGTACAACTGGTACACATGTGCAAGCAATTCATGAGTCTTTCGTCTCGTCTCCTCAGATAACCACTGCAAGGCTGCGACGACAACATTCGGCCTGACAAGGTGCTTCCAGACAATCTTCGCACTGGTTGGTACACAGTTCACTATGATGTTTGTATTGTCAGCACACAAGTCATGCATGAGACGCGGGTTGCCGTCAATTGGCAATGGAAGGTGGAGTATTTTGTTCTTGGCACCTCACTCGCTTTGAATGCGGTCGACTGCCATGCTTTGTGTCTAGCTTGTAACATGTCTGGAAGGGTTCCACTTTTTGAATGAGTAATTTTTCGAATGAGTTTAGTCGCGACAAGCACTAGGGTACAGGGTGAAGGTGCAAGTCATTGAGAACGCAAGATGGCGGCATGCTGTCTTTCTTCACGTACAGTTTGCAAACCCTGCAAATGAACATGGCGTCAGTAGCGTGCGACTGTACACCATTAACTATTGGCAAGATATACACATACACTTTAAACGTAACGAACTACAAGAATAGAGTGAGTACAATGCGCTGTCGACCTGATAACGTGTTGAATGATAACAGGTATACCGTCCCACCTAACCGTACCCTTCGTCATTCCTCATTCACCATCGCGCGATACCCTGGCACACACTGGCAACATATCAAGGGATGCCTTACCGTCGCCTAGAGGGGACGTCTTCGCAGCAATGTTTTTCGTCCTGCGCATTCAGTCCGCCGACGCGACAGAGTTTACGGGCCCGTTCCAGTTGCAGAAGACATTCGATTCATCGGGCCAGTGCAGCAACAGGTCCGTGGGCACACAGGGGCAGAGGAAAGACATTGTGAGTGGACAAGAAATATGCAGTGGCAAGTGCCATGAATGTCAAGTTCTCATTTCTAATTGAGCTATTACTTACAGTCCTGCCATTGCTCGCTCGTCCTGATTCCTCCTCGTTCGTCTGCGTCCACTTCTGCCGTTCTCCTCCCCGTCACGGCGTCAGGTCAGTGCATTCTCATTAATTTCTCAATGGCAGTTTTCGGGACGGGGGTACCGGAAGGAGTTCGCACGATGCCTCCAAAGGCCTAGAGCGGACGTCTTTGCAGCAATATTTTTCGTCGGTGGATGGGACAGCGTTTACGGGGCCGTTCCAGTTGCAGAAGACATTCATCAATGGCACTTTGCGGTACGGGGGTACCGGAAGGAGTTCGCACCATGTCTCCTAGAACGGACGTCTCTGCAGCAATATTTTTCGTCCTGCGCATTCAGCCCGCCGACGCGACAGCGTTTACGGGGTCGTTCCACTTGCAGAAGACATTCATCGATCATCAATGGCACTTTGCGGTACGGGGGTACCCGGAAGGAGTTCCCACGATGTCTCCAAAGGCCTAGAGCGGACGTCTTTGGAGCAATTCTTTTTGCCCTGCGCATTCAGTCCGCCTATGCGACAGCGTTGACGGGGGCGTTCCAGGTGCAGAAGACATTCATCAATGGCACTTTGCGGTACGGGGTACGGAAAGGGGCCTCCTCGTTCGACTTCTGCAGTTCTCCTTCCCGTCAGGGGTACCGAAAGGGGCCTCCTCGTTCGTCTTCGTCGACTTCTGCATTGGCACAAAGCAGACCGCTGACGGGGTCACGTGTCAACAAAGTATCAACAACGTGTCGACAATGTATCGACCACGTGTATAGCGGTACACTCAGCGCGCGGTACACTAATTCTCGCGCCATGGGGCTGTTAAGTGATGACGTCACAGTTCCTTCGATACGCATAGCAACGATCCCACTGGGGACAAACAAAAGTAGCGTCGTCTCCACCGAACCAGTTGTCAGTGGCAACATATAGGAATCGTGTACATTTCTTCGTTTCTTCTTTGCTGTTTTCAGTGAGTGTTTTGTTTTCTCTTTGTCCTTGATCTCGACGGTGTTGTCGTGCTCATTACCTTACTGAGACGTCTCTTGTGACTGTAGCCAGTGTCACGGAGGATTTTATTGGCGTGACGAGGTAGATCGCCGAGATCGAGCGTGACAAACGCTCTGCATTAGTAGCTCCTGTAGAATGTCTTCTGGGATGGCGTATCCATGGTCAACAAAACCAAGGTGCAAGACAACATAAGAGATCGTGTACACGATGTGAACTCCAAAAGGTAAGCTCCTGAACAAGTGGAAAGATATGTGTATTTACAAACTCTCTCTTCATCCATCGATTGCCGCTATGCATTGCATTTTGTCTTCACAGATAATCTGGACAAATAAATTATAATTGTAACTGGAGAGTGCAATCGTGCTTGGGGCCCATCCCAATGTCATCACATGGCTGTGGTGACTAGTGCATACCTGCGAGAGTTTTTCCTCAACTGAGACGGAGTGTAGGTGGATGGATTATGAGAAATGCGAAGATGTGGAGTAAGTTGTGTCGAAGAAATGTGTAATAAAATAAAATTTACTTTACACTCAAACATACACTGTACATGTAACATCATGATAATGATTCCATCTTCATATCTCCGCAACAGATACGCCATACGCACCAAATACATGGTGTGTGTGTACGCGCGCTTGCGTGCGCGCATACATGCACACACTCTCATGCGTGGCCGAGTTGGCCGGATGAACAGACCACGCACTTGCACGAGGTGTCCGTTATGTCATTAGAATGCTGTACTTTATGGCTTTATTCCAAAATAGTATGTCTTGCCCCTGTCAAATGGAGTTTGTGTCTATGCTGAGCGGGTATCGGGCCACGACACCGCACTGCAGTCAGCGCTGGAATTAAAATAGCACTTCATGGATTCATGGATTATTTTATCTAATTTCCTTTGCGTTTACATGTACTTTGTTGAGCCCGTGGTTTCATTTCTGTGTTCTGTCATGATTGGCCTCTGGAAATAATCGGAGTGGATGTCATTTTTGTCATATGTGTGTGCCTTGTGCAACAGGTTCAAGGCTAGATGCACTTCACATTCGGCGTGCGATCTCGGCGTCTGGGACCTGATAACATCTTGGTTGGATGGGTAATCGAGGATGATACTACTCGGCACACCAATGTACATGTCAATGTAATTTTTTACTTTTTCAGAGCTGCACTAACAGTTATTTACGGACGAATGTGTCTGTTAGAGAGGAAATAAATAGTATTCACAAACAAGTCCCACTTCTTGTTTCGGTTCGTAAAAGGAAATTGCAATTTTTTGGTCATATTGTTCGTTCCGGCTGTTTGTCATTGACTGTTCTTCAGGGTTGTGTTGCTGGAGATCGTGGCCGAGGCAGGCCCAGAATGTCATGGCCTGATAATATTATTTCATGGACTGCACTTGACGTGCAGTCCCTGCTCGCTGCTGCACGCGATTGATTTTTATGGCGCTCGCTTGTTCATACAAGTACTTGCTCTGTGACGCTCCGACGGCCTTAGGGCTATGGGCTTGTGATGATGACTATTTACGTCTTGATGCTTACTTCGGTGCTAGCGTGTTTCCCCCGGATTATTTCTATCATCATGCGTGTTCTTGGGCTGAGCGAGCACATGCACGAGTGTTCAGCTATAACCCCGTGTATCTTTGGTTACACTTTGTTCTGCAATGCATGTACCTTGTAACAGTATGTGCTTGCATTGCTTTGTGTGGCCTGCGTATTTCAGGACTATTCAGTGCATTAGACCCAGGTTGGTTTGGTTGCCGGTCCATGCCGGATGATCTCTTGTTGCGTCGCTCTGTGTTTCGTATTCATCAATTTTTGGGCTCGAGAATTGAGCTGGTGTGTGGTTCCCAATATCAAAAAAACATCATGCTGGTGCTCTGTGTTTTGATGATCGACTGTCCGAGCAGTCACGATTCATTACCAGAACGGTCAATACTGTAGTCTCTTGATGTGTTTGTCTTTTTGTGTTTTCGCCGGGGGAATTAACGGTGACGTTGCACATAGAACGGCAGTGTTGCATCACTGGACGACCCTGCCTCTGCATCTGACTTCATGTCCCCAGGATCTGGTGCAGATACACCAGACAGTCACTTCCTGGAAACACGCAAATAGCAAAAGAAGAGATCCCGCAAATCAGGAAAAACCATTGTGGAAAATATCGAGTAGATCATACACCATTCAATAATCTGGAGTAATGACAGTGAGACAAACACTTCAGTGCTCTCTCTCTCTCTCTCTCTCTCTCTCTCTCCATCCTTCCAAAATACCCTGTAACAATTCCCTAGAATTATTTTATTTTAATATATTCTCAGGACATCATTCTGAACATAATAACTTCTTCCATAGGTCTTCAATCACCACGGAGGGCGAGAATATATCTAAATCATGCAGTTTACGGGAGGTGCGAGCTGTCATGGATATTGAGGCTGATATTATTGTGCCAGCGTGAGGGCAGAGACAGAAAGAAGACCCTGATTTCTTGAACAACTCACCTACATATTAGATTTGATAATTATAATCGAATCCACAGGGAGCGCTCGTACTTTGATCCATCAGGACGCGAAGAATCTTCAAAGCACTCTCAAACACGGAGTTTTACAGTGGGAAGCCAATTTCACAGCCATTATGAAGGCCCTCGACGACTACAGGAGATTTGTAGAGGAAAGAACAAGGAGTAAAGAGCGACAACAATCGCTTGAAGAAAAAGCAAAGAAAAACTGCTCTCTCTCCAGTCATTTAGATGCTGTTGCCTTTGACAACTGGTTCCATCCAGAGGACGCGGCTTTTGTTTGTCCCCAGTGCTCTCCGTTGCTATGCGTATCGAAGGGGCCGTGACGTCACACTTAACAGCCCCATTCTCGTGTCACAAAACTGGAACATCGAGTACCAGTATGGAAAGGCTTCAGACAGGAAGCCTTTCGGTCTAACTATACTACTCCCTGGTTTGGCGTCATTTCGGGAATAATTCCACCTTTCGACCTTTTGACCTTCCCTAATATGTTGCTTCGCGCTGTAAGAAATCAAATATGGCGCGCTCTGTCTGTCATGATCATGATGGCTGAATCTTGCCCTTGCCTGCAGACCTCCTGAGCGTGCTTGATTACATATAATAATTATACCGATAACCCAAAGCGTATTTCTTGTAGCTGTGCGGCTCCGGTCGGCTAGTCATGCCTGATTCCGTTCTCTGTTTCTCCAAAGAGAGCAATGCCGTCGAGTTATTTTCGTCTGCTGCCGCCTTTTCTCTGGCGTCGGAGGAAAGGGATCACGGGCTGCCTGCTGATGTCAGCACTGCTCGCTTATTTCGCAATGGACACCTCGAAAAAAATAACGCCTGGATATCATGACGGTTCGGTCACAATATCTTCTACTAGTCCTAGCCTTGGGACACGCCTTGAACATGGTAGGCTAAGGAGAGAGTATTCTACAACATCTTCGACACGAAGTGTTGCAGCGCAGAACGGTGAGGCTACAACATTCTCCTCTTTCCTCTTCAGTGATATGCACAGTCTACTGCCAGAGGCTACACCATCTTCCAGTCTTGGTACACGTCCGGGACCGGGCACACCGCCGGCGACCACACATACTGCAGAAAATATAAAGCAGAACGATGGGACCACAGCATCTTCTAGTACTAGTAGCGGTACACATCCAGAACTGGGTACAACACCGTCGACCACACATGTGTCAGCAGCTATTAAGCCAGAAACCTTTGTATACCTGATCACCGGTAAGGGCGAGCCGAGTCCACGCTGGGTGAGGCGCTCGACGTGGCAAAACGTCACAGTCATTTATCTATCCTGGCGTGATGATTTTACGACGTCAGCCAAGTACTCGGGGCCAAGAGTCAAAAGTGAGAAGTTTGTACCGCTGTTTTACCCCAAATCCACCTGGACCACAGGCAGAAACAAGCAGTTGGAGGTAGCCTACCAGGTAGAAAAAGATCAGGGCTGGCGTTTTGAGTTTCTACTCTACTTTGACGAGGATGTGTATTTCTCGCAACGTCTGGCATCGAATCCGGCGGAAGTGATAACGAACAAGTCCAGTGATGACGCACAATTGCTCTGGCTGCACAGTCTGTTGGTACGCGATCGACCTATGCGCGCCAGCGTTTCCTACAAGGACGTGGCCAGCGCGGAGTATCCGTGGACCAGCAGGCATAGTCTGGGGTGCATGCAGCGCTGCCACGTGGATCATTTGTTCATGGCCTACCATCGTACGGCCGCGCCATTTCTACTGCCCTACGCTGCATACCTTGACGCCGCCCACTGGTGGGCATCTGGGTACACGACGAATCTCCTTATGGCGGCCGTGGCACCAGCACACTGCAGCTACTACCGTGAAATAGTGATTCTCGACGGTGGTCTGCAGATCCACGAAAAGGCATACGTGGGCGGGTACGATTTCAGGGCCTCTAAACAGCATGTTCTGAATTGCCTCAGAAGAGCACGTTGGAAAGGCTCTCTCCTCGATGACATTGTGGATAGTGTTAATTGGTGGCTCCGGGAGGAGCTGGCACCGCACGAGTTTCACGTCCCTTATGACAAACCCTGCGTCAGGAAAACTCAAGGAATAGATTACTCTCAAGTTTTAGGCACTAGAAGGACACAAACACTTCAGTGCGGTAACCTTACCATAAGCAATCACTGAAATGTATAAGAAAAGGAAGACAGATCTTAGGTTAACGGCCGTGACCAGAAGTGCACTGTTGATCGCGGTAAGTGTACTGAAAAGTTTTTAGGCTCAATGTTTTGTTCTTTGACCATCAGGGGGAATGTTGAAGTTGTGTTGAAGCTGGTTATTTCATGCTATTTTTTATAATTATTTCATCAAATTCTTCGGCTCTGCTTTTCTTTGTTTTTTGTTTGTTTAAAAAAATGTTTTGAACTATTTTTATCTCATTGGATTTCTTTGGATTCCGTATCTCGTTATCGTTATCTTCTCCTCTAGCCCTCTCGCTTAGGATGAGCTTTTTTATGGCAGCTTAAACGAAGGCTATATACCTGTTTTATGCAGGTTGATGCCAATGCGAGCAAGCAAAATAATAATAATAATAATAATAATACATATATAACGAAGTAGTGGTTGCGACTTCGGCGATGATTTGTAAGAAATGGTTTGCTCCCCACACCGGAGCTCGCGCTATTCCGCCGACTTTACTTGACACTTGACTGACTCACGACTGCCATCCAGAGCACACGAGAAGTCCATCGAACCTTCGACTCGGCAAACCTGCAAGAAAGCACCACTCCCTGCTCAATACACAGTGTTTCGGGGAATTCACCCCTCATCAGTTGAGCTTGTGTAGGCTGAGGAAGATTGTGCCTGAAGAGCACCACTTATATAGTGCTCTCCAGGCACAAACATCACCAGGGATACAAACTTACAGAGACGCTCCGTTTCCAGCGCGACAAACACCTCGTGAACACCAGATAGCAGCGTGAGTCAGTGTCGCTCCTGGACGGTGACACGAGGTGTTTGTCGCGCTGGAAACGGAGCGTCTCTGTAAGTTTGTATCCCTGGTGATGTTTGTGCCTGGAGAGCACTATATAAGTGGTGCTCTTCAGGCACAATCTTCCTCAGCCTACTCAAGCTCAACTGATGAGGGGTGAATTCCCCGAAACACTGTGTATTGAGCAGTGAGTGGTGCTTTCTTGCAGGTTTGCCGAGTCGAAGGTTCGATGGACTTCTCGTGTGCTCTGGATGGCAGTCGTGAGTCAGTCAAGTGTCAAGTAAAGTTGGCGGAATAGCGCGAGCTCCGGTGTGGGGAGCAAACCATTTCTTACAAATAAATATACATGTATATATTGAGTTGAGAATTAATTTTGATTTGCCAGTAATCCTTCTGATGAGATGGCCACGAAAACGTTCAAGGAACAAGCTTCTATACATGAAAACAAGTGTTGCTATTATAAATGGTGTTTGTACTGAGTGCGCAGCTTACTCTATTTATTGCGTTAATTACATTTTTATCTCCATGTGAGCTTTTTAATAATAAATAAATAAATAAATTTCACGGTTCGCGTGAGACTCGGCTGAAAGTCGAGTTTTCCACATCTCATTATATGTATTACAGTTATATGTATTACAGTTAGATGGGACTTTGCTCTGGGCATGGAAATTCTGTCGTTATTCGCGAATTGTCGTTATATCCCCAGTCGTTATTAGCGAAGTTGACTATAGCAAACCCTGCCCATGTCCCTGTTTGAACCCATGTCCCTGTTTGAACC